GAAGAGACTGTTGGAACCATTGATTACGGGTACTTCTACCTTTTTGGCTCTTGAGAATAATGCTGTAAAGGGCATGGCTGTACAAACACCTCTGAGGTCCCATTTTCAGATCTTTGGGATAAAATCCAGAAGTGTGATTGCTGGATCATATGGTAGTTCTATTTTTTAGCGTTTTTGTGGACTCTCCACATTGTTTTCCATAGTGGCTGTGTGGTATGTATTTTAAAATATTTAAATAGACACAGAAAAGTACATAAAACACTAGCAGATTATTACTTAGCAACAATTTAAGTCAAGAAATAGAACTTCCCACCCTTCCAAAAACCCTTCTCTTTTCCCTTCCTCTCCTTTATGTCTGCCTTCTCACACTTATTTTGCCCTGTAGTTTTAGAACTTTGAGTAAATGAAATCCGCAGTTTATCCATTATGAGTAATGCTGCCATGAACATTCTTACTCATGTTTTTTGCTGCACACTCATGAATAGAATTATTGTGCCATAGGGTAGGCATTCACTGTTAGCAGACAGCACAGTAAAAAGTGGTTCTGCTAATTGTATTCTTGTGAACAGTATATAAATTTTATGGATGTTCTATGTCTGTGTCAGTGATTTGTGTTGTATTATCGGTCTTTCAAAATTTAACACTTTGTGGGTATGATTAAGTTTATACTTATTTTCTCTTTCCTTTTTTCTTTTTTGAGATGAAGTCTTGCTTTGTCACTTAAGCTGGAGTGCAGTGGCACAATCTCAACTCACTGTAACCTTTGCCTCCCAGGTTCAAGCAATTCTCCTGCCTCAGCCTCCAAATAGCTGGGATTACAGGCATGCACCACCATGCCCAACTAATTTTTGTATTTTTAGTAGAGACAGGGTTTCACCTTGTTGGCCAGGCTGGTCTTAAACTCCCGACCTCAGGTGATCCACCCACCTCGGCCTCCCAAGGTGCTGGGATTACAAGTGTGAGCCACCACACCCAGCCTTGTACTTACTTTCTCGATTCGCATTGAGATTGTGGTGTTGTGTTGCTTAGAGATAGGGTGTTTCTGTGTTGCCCAAGCTGGGGTGTGCAGTGGTGCAATGACAGGTCACTGCAGCCTCAAACTACTGGATGCAAGTGATCCTCCCACTTCAGCCTCCCCAGTAGCTGAGACTACAGACATGCATTACCACACTTGAATAATTTTTTTTTTTTTTCTTTTTCTTTTTGGTAGAGATGGTCTCACTCTGTTGCTGATCTTGAACTCCTGGCCTCAAGCAGTCCTCTGCCTTGGCCTCCCAGAGTGTTTGATTACAGGCGTGAGCCATCACCCCTGGCCAGAGCATCTTTTTATATGTTTATTGACTATTTGGATGCTTTCTTTTGGAAGTGACTTTAGAAATCTCTTAAAATTTTCTACTGGATTGTACATCATTTTTCTTACTGATTTGTAGACTTTCTTTACACTTTCTGCAGATGAACTCTTACTCCGTTACATTTGTTGGAGGAGCCAGTGGCAGTGGCTCACGTGTGTAATCCTAGCACTTCGGGAGACTGAATTGGAAGGATTACTTGAGCCCAGGAAATTGAGACCAGCCTGGGCAATATAGCAAGACCCCATCTGTTTTAAAAAATATCCACACATTTGTTAGAAGTATTTTTCATTCTGTAATTTGCCTTTTCATTGTCTGACTAGTGTAGTTATAAATAGAGATTGTTAATGTAATACAATTGATCAGTATTTTTCTAAGCACTACTGCTTTTCTTTCCCAAGATCCAGGAAGATAGCCTCATTATGTTTTAGAACTGGATGAGTCGTACTGTAGCCACTAGATCCGTGTGGCTATTTAAATTAATGGGGAGTTGAGTCCATTCTTTCCCCCTACTGCAATACCCTGTTGCAGTGGTCCCTGTCTTGTTTGAATAAAGTCAGCCTTACCACCTTGAAAACAAATAAATAAATTAATATAAATTAATTAAAAATAAATTGTAAGATTAACTTCCTTAGTTGCAGTAGCCACATTTTAGGTGCTCAGTGTATGGCTAGTACTCTCACCATGACTAGTGTCAACCATACTGGACAACACAGATCCAGACTGTTGCCATCAGTGCAGAAAAGTTCTGTTGGGTTGTGCTATCTTAGAACTTAATTATTGTACCTTCACATTTATATCTGTAATTCATCTGGAATCAATTTACATGTGTGGTTTAGGGGAAGGGTTGAGCTTCATTTTATTTCCTGTGAATAGTCAACCGACCTAATACCATTTAGTGAAAAGACCATCCTTTCCCCATTGCCCAGCAAGGCAGCCTTTGTCATCATTTAGGCCTGTTTCTGCACCGTCTGTTTTGTTTCATTGGCATATTTGTCTATCCTCGTGCTGGTACACCGTCTTTATGACTTTGCCTTAGAACTTGGTTATGATATCCTTTCTATACTAGTGAATTCTGTTTGCATCTGTGTTGAGAGTGTGTTATTTTGGTTTTGTGTCCTGTGTTTTTAATGTATGTAAAGTATGTGACATACCTTATTCCGAGTCCTGGTTTGAAAATCTTTATTGAATGCCTGTTATATGTGCCATGTGCTGTTATAGGTGGTGCTGGGGAATAAAGCACATCTAAACTTACTGTAGAAAATATCGTGCAAAAAGTTTGTATGGTTAAGGTGATTCTCAGTGATCATAAAGGCGACCAAGAAAAGGGGAAGGTGAAAATGCTGTGCAGGTAAACCCAATATGAATTGTTCAAGGATGTGTCACAATTCTCTGTGACTGTAGGTGAGGTTTCAAAACAAAAATGCTGCCTTTGATTTTGTTGTGTTCTCGTTGGAGTGGCTCAGTGTTGAGTATATGGCTGTGTTTCTTTTTATTCAGGCTTGCTCACTGTACTTGGTTTGTGCAGGGAACAATGCTATCGTGGTCATTAAAATCGAAACATCCCCTCCGAAAGTGTTAGTAAAAGTTTGCTGCAGCTCTTAGCGGTCTGCTGTTAGTTAACACTCGTACTCATCTGTTTTATAGCCTTTTCTGTTCTGTTACTGCTACTGTCATTTCTTCCATTACTCTTTGTCTTGCGGACTTGTTTTTAAAAATTCTGTTAAGATAATTTTAGTAAAGTTTCAGGAGAGAGGGGAGGCTAGTGCATGTGATTATCCTGGCATCTTTAACTTTTTAGACAGAATTTTCTCATTTTGTGATACAAATATTTATTTCCTGTTGCAAAGAGATGGCACTTCTTGCAGTCCATTGAAACTGCCATACACCTTGATGATTTAGTTTTTGGATTCTGTACGAGATCATGTTTAGTAGACCCATGTTGTTGTGCTTGAGTCTACAGGAGGATGTTCATGTTCTGTTTCAGATAATAGTGCTGTAGTTTTGTGCGTTTCTTAACTCATCAAATACAATGTGTGGCCCACCCTTGGCCCTTGATATTGCTTACCTTAATTGTGTAGAGCGTAACCAGTTTCTACTTTGACTAAAGTTTGACGTATACAAGTTACTTGAAAGTGGGGATTCGGTCCCTCTACACGCTAGTGTACATAGTGCTATATGCTATAGTCTCTTTAAGTGTTAAATGAAAAACCAGTCTAAAATGCAGGATTTATATTAAAAATTGAGTTGCCTGCTTAATGGTATTGTGGTTTCCTTGTAGAATATAATGATAAGCTTTGCGAGACTGGGTGAGCCATTTTAGGTGGAAGATTTGCAGAGCTTTAAGGTGATATTGGAGTATTTTATATATATAATGTATATGTTAATGGAATAGGCTGTCTGATTTGGTGTGTAGGTATGGTGATGAGACCAAGACTCTGAGTCTGATTTTTACCCTCTGTGTATCCCCAGTGTGGATTGTTTTGTGGGACACTGCAGTCTTAACATTGGCAGACTTGCTCTCTAGTAATTGATACTGCTGTCCAAGGGTTCGGATACACCCATCCGTGAATGAACAACCCAGATAGTCAGGCTACTGGAAAAAACAACCCAAAACAGACTTTCAAGATGATTCAGTGAGGTTTCTTTTTGATACGGAGAATAGCAATAGGTTGTTTTTATTATCAAGAAGTCCTAAACATTTCACTGGATGCCTCACTTTTACTTAAAATATTTGACTGTCAGTAATACCTATTTTTTATTTAAACTTTTTCCATAGGTGGTTCTTTAATATAATAGGACAAAAGATGAAATTCTGAATATGATTATAATTCTCACTTTTGCTGAGATATTAATGCTAACTGAAGTAATTCACAAGTAGTCTCTTTATCAGATAGGTTAAATTATATTCTTTCATAGTGATACTAAATGAAATTAATCATTAGTGTGTGTCAGGCTCATAAGATCAGAAAGCCAATTTAAGGGGAGTAAACAGTTGTTAATCGGGGTGCATGGGGCCATTGCTGGGTAATGCTGAACATGGACTTGATCGGTAACGAAGCTGTCTGTAACAGTGGTCTTGGGGTGGGAGATAGGGGTTAAATTGGATCCCTGCATTTATGCAAGTGCTTCTTTTAAAAGAAGCTTTCAGCAGGGAAATAACCAAAAGATGGGCATCAGAAAGGAAAAGAAGGACAATACATCAGATTAAGTAACAGATTGGGAGTTGACCCTAAGTTGGGCAGAGTAACAAGGTGTGCTTGTTGTCTTTCTGGGCAAGGCTTTCTTTAGTCACTACTTTTTAGATGAACTCTCTTATTATGGGTGCTCACTGTTTTTTTCATCAGTATGCCTCCATACCGTTAAATACATACAGTAAATTAGCAATCAAATTGATCCATATTTTAATGTCATTATTTCCCTAGTCAGTTGAGCTTATTTATTCAGCTTTGTTTAGCCTTTTTTCTCCCTTAAGTTTTCTCATTTATTCCTTGAATGTCTGTAGCAATATTAAAAAAACAAAATGTAATCGTATAAAGACATAGCTAATGGGCTATCAGGAATGTGCAGGGTCCTTTGCAATTGATTACATATTTGATTCTTTTGAAATATTTTTCAACAGTGGTCCAAATATTTTTGTTTCCATTTTAGAACAAAATCCAGTCTCATAGCAGAGGAGAATATAATGTTTACAGCACCTTCCAGAGCCATGAACCAGAGTTTGACTACTTGAAAAGTTTAGAAATAGAAGAAAAGATCAACAAAATTAGGTGGTTACCCCAGAAAAATGCTGCTCAGTTTTTATTGTCTACCAATGGTAAGTATACGTATTTTCTTTCCATGCGCCTGTGGTGTGTACCTACCTGTTACACATATCCTGTAGACTGGGTTACTCTTCTCAAAGAGGAATCATTTAACAGAGATACTTGTAAAAAAGGACTTTTTTTTCTATACAGAATGTAAACTCTACTTTTACTTTTTTACAGTTCACTTTGCAGTTTTTAGATTTTCTGAAAGATCCTCAGATACCAATTTTTTGTTTACTACACCCCTAGTTTGTAGTGGAAAGAATGGGCTGCCACACCGTTGGATTTAGGACAGGTACTGTTTCTGTCACTTCTCAGTCTCGTAATCTTGGGCAGGTTACTAAGAATGAATTAATGAATTGAGTTTTCATCAGCAGCAAACTAGAGATGGTAATTTTTAATCGTATTACTATGAATATTAAATAACTCTTTACATACATCATGAGTGAAAGTGCTCAATAAATGTTAATTCAGTCCTCCTTTTTAGGTGTTCCTAAACTACATGGAGTATTTCAACCTACATACAGAAAATACTCTAAGGATGGTCTCCATTCCAGGATACTCTATATGAGAGCACTCCTCCTACTTGACTACCATTAGCATATTGCCTTCTTCCCAGCAATCCACATGGCTGGAAAGAGATTCCTCTCCTTTTATACTTGCCCAGGAAAGTCGTTTGTTTTTTGAGACAATATATGTTGCCTAGGCTGGAGTGCAGTGGTATAATCATGGCTCACTGCAGCCTCAACTTCCCCTACTCAGTCTCCTGAGTAGCTGGGACCACAGGTGTGTGCCACCACACCCAGGTAATTTAAAAAAAAAAAAAAAAAAAAAAAACTGTAGAGAATGGATCTCCCTATGTTGCCCAGGCTGGTCTTAAACTCCTGGGCTCAAGCAGTCTGCCCCCTTCAGTTTCTCAAAGTGCTGGGATTACAGGTGTGAGCCACCACCAGGAAAAGTTAAGTGAGGATTAAAAGTTAGTAATGGCTCTATCAGAAAGTCCTTTATAATGAGTTGGATGCTTTTTTTTTGTTCTTATAAAAAACTTTTTCCTGTGAATTGTTTGGACTTGTTTGGGGTCTTGAGTCTAAAGGGAATCTTTAGAGTGACTGAGGACTTACTTAGGTTCTGGGTAGCTGGATCATGAAAGCTCTCCCAGCCAATCCATTGAGATTTGTACCCTCTGCCTTCTCTGTCATCACAATAAACTACATTCCCCTCTCCTTATTCGAAGAAAAATAAACAGAAATAACTATTTAAAGTCTGTAACTCACAGCACCATGGGTAGAGGGAACAGTTTACTTCTGCCATATGCTAGCTTCTAGTCTTGGGTCAGTTTTAATTTATATGGTAAACTAAGTTATTTCAAATAGCTTCAGATATTTGAGACACTGTTCTTTGGCATCAGATGATATATAATTAAACCATTTATATAATTTCTACATTTAGAAGTAAATGTCCCTAGTAGGAAGTGTGTTTTTAACATTTTATATATTGGAATATTTTATGGCAGTTTATTGCTTATAGGGCTAAATCAGCTTTTTTTATAAAGAGAACTTTTAAAATGTAGGCCGAGGTCAAGAGAATAGTATAATGAAGACCCACATCCTCATCATCCACTTCTGACACTCCTCGGTTCATGGCCAGTGTGTTTCTTGGATGCTTCTCCCTTCCCCTCCTCCTCATTTTTACTTGGAAGCAAATCGTATTTCAACTTGTGTGGATTAAACCTTATTTAAAGACATTACTGTACACGTTGCAGATTTTTGTTTTTTGTTGCTTAATACTAAATACAACTAACTGGCGGGGTTGGGGGGGACCGTAATTTTTAATGCTAAAAATAATGCTTAATAATAGGGTCCAATGTGGAAGGATAAAGCACATTATGAGAGTCATTTGAACTATTGTGTCTGGGTATGATGGGAAAGGGATGGGATGAGTAGGACTTGAGCTATGTATGAAAAACTATTTGAAAGAGAGAAATTTAGAGAAAAATGACAACATCTGTTGATTCTGAGTGATATCTTTTATATTATTTTGTGTAGTTTTCTCTGTGAGTTAGAGCATAGTATCATCACCACCCCCTCCTCCCAATGTAATGGATTATATAAAAACTACAGCTGTGGGAGAATGGTGGAAAATAGTAAAAAAACTTTCCAGGTTTGATTAACCAGAATTAATCTTATAAAAATCTTTGCATTGGCTTTTCGTGATCATTATGAACTGGGTTTCCCAGATCATTTTTACTTAAAGGACGTCATAGTCACCTTCTTATTAGTTGAGTTAATTTAGTGTTCCTTCAAGTGTTTTAATTCTCTTTTTCTTTAATCTTCTTTTGCCTCTCTGAATTATACTGCAGAAAACGTGAAACTGACCTGTTGACCATGGGTCTTACATATATGAATAATACAAAATTCACTCATAAACAGGATGTGTTTTAACAATGTCTTGTTAAGAAGTTTTTAGGGTCTTACGTAAAGCTGCATTCCCACAAAGGAAACAGCAGCATGGTTTTCCCTGTTCGTACCCTCTGCTTGTGGTGAGAGGAGCTCTTTTCTTCTGCAGCTTCTGCAGTGCTTTAGTTGTCAGTGTTGATAATTCAGGAGAACAATTTCCCGCCTGCCTTGTCCCTACTATACTGAAATAACGTATCTATCCTAATTCTATGTGCCCTGTGTTTGTGTTAATGGAAAAAAATATTTTTAAAGAGCTTTGTTCCTGTAAACACTATTAGCTACTACAAACTAATTTCATCTCATCTGAAAGTTTTATAAATACATTGTGGTTTCTTTATTTGGATCCTTAATAAGGAGGATGGATTTAAACAGGCCACAAGACAATTGGGCCAGGGACAGAGGTGTTGTCATCCTCACCACAAATATTTCTCAAAATACAGATTTAGGCCAGGCTCATACCTGTCTATAAATTGTGTAATTTATGAAGTAAATAGCACATCAAAAACCTGTATGACTGAACCTACAAGACAGTTATAAACAAGATCACATAGGGCATAGAAGAAAAATAGATTACAGATTATCAAAGTTAGCAGCTTTTCTCTGTTTATACTTCGTCATTGAGAAGGGCATCCATAGGGGCAACTATCATTCTTCTCTACGATAAAGAGATTACCAGGCTAGAGTCACTGGTATCTCTCTCAGTTGTTTTTAACTGGTTTTATAAAATGGCTTTATATACTGTTTTAAACAATTTTGTTACACCCATTGCTTATGAAAGATCGTTAGGAATGTGATGCTTTTCTCTAAGAATGGTATTTTATGATTATAACAGTTTTAAATCAATATACATGAGCCTATAGTGATATAAATGAATTATTGAATGGATAAATGGAGAGAAGGGATGCTTCCTGCAGCAGAATTCTAAATAACATGTGGATACACACTCTTCCCTACAAGGAGTTTAACTTATTTCTCCCTTTAAGTATGGGCTGGACTTTTAGTGACTCACTTCCAAAGAATAGCATATGGGAAGGGTGAAAGAGTAATTGTATAGTGGAGAAGGCTGGCAAACAGTATCTTAACTAAATGACCAAAGTTAACAAACACCACCAGCTGTAAGTCATGTTGATACTATGTATCCCCTTGAACAGTGCTGTGAGAAGTCACTTCACCTTTCTGTTCTTTTCCTAAAAACCCATGGTCCCAGTCTGATCATGAAGAAACAGGCAAGTCCAGTTGAGGGATATTCTACAAAGTACCTCACCATCACTACTCAAAACTGTCAAGATCAAGAAAAATAAGGCGAGTCTGAGAAACTTAAAAGCAGAGAGACTAAGGAAACTTGATGACTAAAATGTAGTAGTGTTTGAATTCTGGAACAGAAAGGGAGTGTTAGTGGAAATCCTGGCTAAATCTCCAAATGAAGTCTATAGTTGAGTTAATAGTAATGTATAATGTCAATGTCTTAGTTTTGACAAACAGATGTTGACAGAAGAAACTGGGTGAAGGATATACACTACAATTTTTGCAACTTTTCTGTAAATCTAAATTGTAAAACAAAAGTTTGTTTTTAAACAGATGCCATTGTATACATCCTTGATACCCAGGAATTTGCCGTCTTGAAGGACTTGGAGTGTATGCCTTTAACCAGCCAGTTTTCTACAGTCCTTGTTTCCTACTTTATGAACTCTGATAAAAGGGGGAAAGGTTTAAAAAAGGAGGCATCCAGTCCTTTGGAGGCCTCTGTGGAGTCTTTGACAGGATCTGCTAAGAAGTGAGAGCAAGGGAAACCAGCTTTACTATTTTGATTATACATACAGGCAGTCTTAATCAACTTCATTGTTCCCTTTAAATTTTTAAAAATTCATTATTGAGCATGTATGAGTATATGTTTACATGTATGTATAGGCATATGTGTTTGCATACACCACACATGCATATGAAGTTTTTCCCCTCTAGCTTTAATTACTTTTAAGGGATAGGGATAGAGACCTGGCTGTGTCTTGATTTGACTGTCACGTGGAATTTATATAAGTGCTGTTAATCTAGAAATTTGTGATCTTTCTTCTTTATTTCTATTTATGGTTTTATTCAGCTGATAATAGGAAATTTTTTAGTAAGTCAGATTAGGGGGTTTTTTTAATGGAATTATTTTAGGTGAAATGTGGAATAGCATATTTTAAATGCCTTAAAATGTTTTCTTCTTCTTCAGTATTACCCTTTTATTTTAAGGACTTTCTTTATTTTCTTCCCAGATAAAACAATAAAATTGTGGAAAATCAGTGAAAGGGACAAAAGACCAGAAGGGTATAACTTGAAAGAGGAAGATGGAAGGTATAGAGATCCTACTACAGTTACTACACTACGAGTAAGTACATAAGGAAAAACAGTCACAGATGGTGTTTGTGTTCATATTATGTAACCCAAACCCTGACCAGAGCTTGAATAGAAATAATTACAGTCTGTCTCCCCTTTCCCAGTAGTTCTGTAATCAGGTAGAACATTGAATGACTTATTGAAACGTAGAAACTGACCTACATAGAGGTTTCACTTTGGCCAGGGACAGACGCAGGACTAAAACACAAGACAATGTTTCACGTCATCAGACTCAGTCTCAGGTTTGTAATGTTAGCTATTACAAGGTCAAGTTTCAAGGTAACTTTTGTTTGGAAATCAAAAAAGTAGATATAGATAAAATCTTCTAGCTGTAGCTAAAAAATTACCAAGAATTGCATGTTATGGGTTAATTTTCTTTTTAGCCTCTTTATTTTAAACCATAAACATTTATTAGCTTGACATGTCTTTCAAGTGAAATTTGAACTAAGAACTTCAAATTATACTAGTATTGCTACCAGTGAAAGAGATATATTATCCACATTGTTCATTTTTCTTCTTCCCATTTCAACACTTGAAAGGATCAACATCAGTTGCTTTTTGAAATTAAATCTACGTAATATTGTTCTATTTTATGTTCTCAAAAACTAAAATGAAGTTTTCTGAATCGTAATTGCTATTTGAAACTGAGCCTTATGTAATTTCTGTTTTTCATGTGTCTTATTGACAGGTGCCAGTCTTTAGGCCCATGGATCTAATGGTTGAGGCCAGTCCACGAAGAATATTTGCCAATGCTCATACATATCACATCAACTCAATTTCTATTAATAGTGATTATGAAACATACTTATCTGCAGATGATTTGCGGATTAATCTTTGGCATCTGGAAATTACAGACAGGAGTTTTAGTATCCATTTGGTTTTCTTCTTTGGTGTTTGGTGAAGAAGGCATGTTGTGCTTATACTGAATTTATTTCATCTCTCCTTCATGAATTGATTCATTTTTGTAGTCTCTCTATATATGTATAGCATCTTATTTTTTCTTTGTACATGAGTAATAGAATACTGGAGAAAGTTATTTGCTAAACATAAAGGCATAATGTATTGATTTAAAAATTGGATTCATGGAATTTTAAGGAATTTGTCTATTGTATCTGTGGAAATAGGAACTTTTTTGTAATTTAGCTTTTTATTTTAGAAAATCAGATTTGTGAGGGCTGTGCATGGTACGTCATGCCTGTAATCCCAGTGGTTTAAGAGACTGAGGTAGAAAGATCACTTAAGGTTACTGTGAGCTATAATCATGCTTCTGCACGCTAGCCTAGGTGACAGAGCAACACCGTCTCTAAAAAAAAAAAAAGAATTTTTTTTTTCTTCTAATCAAATTATGGACTATTGTAATTTGAATTTTTTATTATACTCATTAAGAACAGAAAAAGAAATTCGTGCAAGTCATGATGCATGATTGGGTCAATAAAAAATATTCTATTGAAAAAATTTCTCCAGACCTCATTTTTATTGTTTATATTGTACTCCTCAAGTTCTGTGCATATACAGATGTGCGATAAACATAAGTATCTGTACACATGCATATAATACATGCATATAGAGAGGTATATTTATGTATTTAGGTTTTTTAAAATTCTTGGCAAATGTCAGCAGCTGTTAATGCTGTTAACATACTGTATTGTACAAATAGATACTACTTGAAAAGTTAACAGAGCTTTACATAATTCATACTCTACCAACAGTGTATAAGAGTCTGTTTCCTTATACCTTTCCCAGTCTTCTGAGGGACAGAGTTCTCTTTTGTTGTTTTTATTTGCATTTCTGTAATCATCATAGACATAAGCATCTTTTCATGTTCATCAGACATTTATATTTCTTTTTGTTCTTTTCTATTTTTTTCCCCACTGGATATATTTATTTTTTTATTATTATTTTATTTTTTTGTGATGGAAACTTAGTCTGTCGCCCAGGCTGGAAGTCCAGTGGCGCAATCTTGGCTCACTGCAACCTCTACCTCCTGGGCTCAGGCATTTCTTCTGCCTCAGCCTCCCTAATTGTTGGGACTATAGGTATGTGCCATCATGCCTGGCTAATTTTTTTTGTATTTTTAGTAGAGACAGGGTTTTTCACCATGTTGGCTAGGCTGGTCTTGAACTCCAGACCTCATGATCCGCCCACCTTGGCCACCTAAAGTGCAGGGATTACAGGCCTGAACCACCGTACCCAGCCATATATTAATTTTTTTAAAGCACTTTGTGTTAAGTAAATTAACTCTATTGTTCGTGGTGCAGTTTTCCTTTTTCACCCTCGTAAGGGTTTTGTTTTGGAATTCTCTTACTGTTTACTGTTTATGAAGATAAATGTATCACCAATCTTTATGGCTTCTGAGACCTGTGCCCTGCTTGGACAGACCTCTGTGTTCTAAAATCAGTGGTTCCCAACCTTACTAGCACTAGGGACTGGTCTCATGGAAGACAATTTTTCCACAGAATGGGGTGGTCAGGCAATGGTTTCAGGAAGAAACTTCCACCCCAGGTCAACAGGCATTAGATTCTCATAAGGAACACACAACCTAGGTCCGTCATATGTGCAGTTCACAATGGGGTTCAGCTCCTATGAGACTCTAATGCCGCTACTGATCTGACAGGAGGCTGGGCTTCGGCAGTAATGCCTGCTTGGCCGCTGCTTACCTGCTGTGCGGCCCAATTTCCAACAGACCACAGACCAGTACCAGTCTGTAGCCCAAGGGTTGGGAACCCCTGCTACAATGATTTAAAACTTGCCTGTTTTATTCTGAGATTGTTCATTTAGGTAGATTTTAGCACTAAATGTGTTAATCCCAGGCTGGGTGCAGTGGCTCACATCTGTAATCCTAGCACTTTGGGAGGTGGAGGCAGGCAGATTCCCTGAGCACAGGAGTTCAGGACCACCCTGGGCAACATGGTGAAACCCCATCTCTACTAAAATACAAAAAATTAGCCAGGCGTGGTGGCATGTGCTTGTAGTCCCAGCTACTTGGGAGGCTTACGACAGGAGAATTCCTTGAATGCAGGAGGCAAAGGTTGCAGTGAGTCAAGCCTACACGACTGCACTCCAGCCTGGGCTACAGAGCAAGACTGTCTCAAAAAAAAAAAAAAAATTTAGTCCCTTTGGAATTTATACTCACAAAAAGAGGGGAATGCAATTCAGAATTAATACTTGTGCTTAGGTCTGTGAGTGGATTTTAGGTTTAAGGGATGTAGAATTATATTTGCCCTTTTTTTCTAAGCGGAAATTCCTTAATAAAATGCTATCTAGACATTGTGGATATCAAGCCTGCCAATATGGAAGAGCTAACAGAGGTGATTACAGCAGCGGAATTCCATCCAAACAGCTGTAACACATTTGTATACAGCAGCAGTAAAGGAACTATTCGGCTCTGTGACATGAGGGCATCTGCCCTTTGTGATAGACATTCTAAATGTAAGTTTCTCTTTTCTTAAAATGATTAAATTGTAAGTTTGTTTTTCCGTAAAATGATTACATATTCTCTTTGTCTGAAGTGAGCCTCACACATGGTAAGTGTAATTACAGAGGTTTACAAGTCTTAAACCTGTGTCCAGAGCCACCTGTACCCTTGGTAATCTGCCTCCCTTCTCATGAGGCATAACAGATTTTTCCCTAGAAGCACGTAGTTAAGCTCTCTTGGAGGGCATGTCTGTTGATTGCCAAGAAATGGATTTCTTGTGGAATGTTGTTGTTCTTTGGGAACTTGTGGTTGGGCTCTCTAACCTTGTATTCAAGTAGAGCTGCTCCTTTCTTTTTCCCATCCTCCCTCATTCTTCCCTTCCTATTTTGAGCTTCCTAGGAAGAAGCTCATTCCTCCCTTCCTATCTTGAGCTTCTGAGATGAGGTTTCCTTGGCTTAAAAATAAATAAATAAATAACTTTGGTTTAAAAACTTCAGGATACAATATTCTTGTCTTGTTGAATATTAACTCATGCAAATTGATACATGCCTGTTACCAAAATAATTTTACCTGGCTGCTAGAAAATAAAATCCTGGTGTGAATTTGATGGGCAAGGATGGTGTGTTTCTCATGGTGATATAGGCAGTCAGTATATGCCAGTAAACCTGGTGCACTGAAGTCAGAAGTCCCAGGTGAGTCTGGTTCTAAATTAGTCACACGAGTCTGGAAATACATGGCATACTTGTGCATCTTCAACTTCAGTATTCAATTATCCAAAAAAGCTTTCAGGAGAATTCTAGCCAGAGAGATGTTTTTCAGTTCTTTATTAGCCTGGCATTTTATCTCACTTGTAGGGAGTTTGTGAATGGTTGTTTAGGAAATACTTTGTCCAAGCCAGAATATTGTACACTTTGCCCTTTTTGTGTTGTTTTGTTTTGTTTTTAGTGTTTGAAGAACCTGAAGATCCCAGTAACAGGTCATTTTTTTCCGAAATCATCTCCTCTATTTCGGATGTAAAATTCAGCCATAGTGGTCGATATATGATGACTAGAGACTATTTGTCAGTCAAAATTTGGGACTTAAATATGGAAAACAGGCCTGTGGAAACATACCAGGTATTTGCAGTTTTTTCTTTCAATGAGCATATACCCTGTTTACTTTGTATAGAGAAGGATTTTGTTAACTAGGTTTTAATCCCTGTATGGTGTTTGTTCACTATTAGGCCTTTTCCCTCAGAGATCTATAAGTATGTTGCTTTTCCTTATGTTAAGTGTATGTATACTTACCTAGGTTGTGTCGTCTCTTGAGTTTTGCAGTTAAAGTGTGATTTTGCTACCCATTTGGTTCAGTATTGACTTTTTTTTTCCTGCCACTATGTACATTTAAAGTGAGGAAGGAAGAGCACCCTTCATTAAGTTCTGGGCAGGAAGGGGATTGGGGAAAGTGGCCAGTCCTAGTAGAGGTGCACCTGCTCAGGTTGGGGGAGTAGTTGAACTAGAGATTAAACTTGGTGTGCCAAGTCAAATGGACTGGTGTTCTGCCTTTTGGCAGATAACTGTTGTCTTCTGCTAAAGGAGAAGGGCTTGAAAGCCTTAGCAGATGGCTTTAGGAGTTGTCTATCTGATGTTGGTTGTCAGTTCTTGATTCTCTTATCAGACAGCCACTGCTGTTGATCCATGTCCACTACATCAAACAGAGAAGAGAATGAAGAAGTACACAGCCTGGAACAGGGTGAGGGCCAGCACAAACCTGTGCTAGGTCCTAGACTGCAGTGTTGAAGTCACTCTAATTCATACTTATACTTTAGTCATGTTATATATTCTCAATAAACTTGGAAGTACATTTCTCAAACTTTTAAATCCTCTCACAAACATAAACCAAGATTCTATTTGATATGTGAAATTTCAGAATAAATATTGCACTGAAACAAAAGCCAAAAAGACAAAATACTGCTTTGCTTTCAAAGGATAGTTAACTGTTGAGCAACACGGATTTATTTGAACTGCACGGGTTCACTCATACACAGTTTTTTTTTCCAGCTAATGAACATTTGAAAATACACTATTTGAGGGATGCAAATCCCTGAAATATATAGAGGGCCAAAACTTCACCTGTGAAGGGCTAACTGCAGATTTGGGTATACCCGGGGTTCTTGGATACTGAGAAATGATTTCTATTTGTGTAACTGCCAGGATTGATATATCATCTCCCAGTTACCCTCACCACCATTTCATTCCCATTGAGAATAATTGATTTGAACCTTACCTTCATACTGATGTATACTGAGAAACCCTGTAACATGCATCCTAAAATGTTGCTAAATTATGATGATCTACCTAATTTTACCTGATTTGCTACGTTTCTACGTATAATCACAGTGATTAAAAGTAATCACATTATAGGCAAATGTATTATATATAGATACAACTACTTTTATTGAATTTGTACCAGCATCTTGCTTAGTTTTGTGTGATTAAAGGGTATTTTTATCTGGTGTGTGTGTGTGTGTGTGTGTGTGTGTGTGTGTTTGTGTGTGTGTTACATGCTCCCTTTTCATGCTAACCCCACATGAGCTGTTATTCCTCTGTATTACAGATTTTCACCTAATGTCACAGACATGGCCTGAATCATTCCACTATATTTAAAGTTAAAATGGACACTGAAAATAAGTTTAGATTGTTTCATATAGAATAGAGAATTCTAACATTTAGAAGGCACCTACTCGTTTCTGTCATTTCTCCTTAAGTAGCTCCTTAAAAAGATGGTGAAGGCCAGGCGTGGTGGCTCACACCTGTAATCCCAGCACTTTGGGAGGCCGAGGCGGGTGGATCATGAGGTCAAGAGATCGAGACCATCCTGGTCAACATGGTGAAACCCCATCTCTACTAAAAATACAAAAAATCAGCTGGGCATGGTGGCGCATGCCTGTAATCCCAGCTACTCAGGAGGCTGAGGCAGGAGAATTGCCTGAACCCAGGAGGCGGAGGTTGCGGTGAGCCGAGATCGCGCCATTGCACTCCAGCCTGGGCAACAAGAGCGAAACTCCGTCTCAAAAAAAAAAAAGATGGTGAAATAGACACTTATTTTTTCCTTTTGAGTTACAGCAAATACGTTGGAACTTTTGTAATTAATAATGTTGAAATACGTCATATTTCTCAGACTACTTTTTAAATATGAGATTCATTTATAAGTAATATATGATACTATCAAATTTGTAATAATATATGCCTAGGATAACCATATATCTATAACTAGGATAAATAGATATGCCCAGGATAACCATATAATTTATCACCAAACCAAGGCATGGGTATGCTATGCAAACATGTGCATTTATAATTGAAAAGACAAGCTTCAGTTAAATTTATGTCCAGAAAATGATATTTAAGAAAGAAATAGGTAGCCGGGTACAGTGGCTTATACCTGTAATCCCAGCACTTTGGGAGGCTTTCGCAGGCAGATCATGAGGTCAGGAGATTTGAGACCATCCTGGCCAGCATGGTGAAACATCCGTCTCTACTAAAATACAAAAAAAATAGCTGGGCATGGTGGCATGCGCCTGTAGCCCCAGCTACTCAGGAGGCTGAGGCAGGGGAATCGCTTGAACTTGGGAGATGGAGGTTGCAGTGAGCCGAGATCACGCCACTGCACTCTAGCCTGGCAACAGAATAAGACTCTGATTCAAAAAAAAAAAAAAATAGAAATAGGTACAGTTTCAGTGTTGCTATCAGTAGTTAATGGATTGAAAGCCAACAATAGTGATATTCAGATATTGCTGTAATGTTCTTTTATTAGCCTCTTACCTGTGTAATTTTCAAGTGTTTTTTCGCCTGAATGTTTTATTCAGACTTATAAAGGACATGCATGTCACACCCAGAATGGAGTTTTCCCTCATCATACCAGTAGTAAATAAATGTGCCTCCCTGAAGGGCTTGTGTGTTGGTAAAAGGACAAAATGCCTTTATTGTTACTAAGAAGATTGAGATTAATAAGTTTAAAAGGTGTGTGTGTGTGTGTGTGTCTCTATGTGCTTTGGACTTGTTAAATAATTTTCCTAATTTCACTTCGGTATGTTTGTATTTTTTCCATAGGTGCATGAATACCTCAGAAGTAAACTCTGTTCACTGTATGAAAATGACTGCATATTTGACAAATTTGAATGTTGTTGGAATGGGTCTGACAGGTAATTGATTTTAAGTCAAACCTCTCATTCAAATATGAACTTTATTAGAGAAAAGAAACTTAACTATTTCATTCTAAGTCCTAACCTCATTCGTCCCTGGGAATTCCTTGAAATAAATTTAGTAATCTTAGATACAGCACAGCAGTACTGGCAGATAAGAATTAAGCATTGTATTTTGCTAGTAAATATAAAAGTATGCAAATTCTAGATAACCTAAATTATTTAAATGTCTAGAAATTTCTTTCTCTTATGAACCAGATCACATTTCTGACATGCCAACCATTAAAATGGTGAAGCTTCAGTTTGGTGGTTATTCCACCATTAAACTGTTTTGGAAGCATTCAGGTGGCAGGTAATTCATTTGGATTGTTAGAGGCACCAAGTTTTCCAAATGCTACATTAACACCCCATACAAGTGGTAATGCATATGTATGTTATGTATGTATTATGTTAACCATAATATATATGGTTAAAATATTAGGAATAGTTACCTTTGCTTTTTATCATTTCTAGTTTTGCCATAGTGTCATTCCTTTTTAGTGAAATGTTACCATTTTTAAAGATAAAGTAAGTCTTACGTTGAGTCTTTTAGTTGTCTGTTTGCCACTGTGTTCCAGTAGAACAGAAAGTAGTAAAAGAAAACATGATTTTGGAATTAAAGTAATTAGAGATACTGTATTTAACAACAGCTTTATCACAGAGCTTAATATGATTCAGGTTTCATGCTGTTACATGTTACAGAAGATAACAGAACTTACAGAATGTTTTCTTAAATCTGGCTTTTGAAATTACCTGATTTTGACATGAGGACTAGTAAACCTAGAGCTCTATTGGTAGCAAACATTGCCTTTGAGCGTACTACTAAACCTGAGGCATCAGGAAGAGAGAAGGAAAGGGAAGAAGGGAAAAAAGATTAAGAAATGCGAAGAGAGCTCCTGAACTAGGATGTGACGCACTGCTACCACTAGGTCTTCCTTGTATTGTTGAAGCGGATAATTAGCGATTGTATGTTCTGTCATCAGAAGGAAATTATTTATTTTCCTTAATATTAAAATTTTTTTAAAATTATTTCAAACTTAGAGAACATTTGTTAGAATAACAAAGAACTCTTCATTTGGCCTTTACCCAGGTTCCCCTGTTGCTGTTTGCTGTATCACATGGTTTATTCTCCCTTTATTTATAGCTATGTTTGTCCACAGGTGCACGCACATGTGCTCACACACACACAACTTGTGTGCCAGACGTGATGCTCATTACCCTGAATTTTTGAATGAGTATTTCCTGACAAAAACCCTTTTCCACATAGTGACAGTGTAGCATCCAAAGCAGCGCTCACAGTGATGCGGTACTGCCATCTAATCCGCAGACCGATTGAAGCTCACAAGTTACTATAACTGTGTCCTTTATGGTACAGAAGAGTCAGTCTAGCTGAGTATCCAATCCAGAGTTTGGTTGTCATCTTTTGTTAGTCTCCTTTATTCTGAAAGAGTTCTTCAGTCTCCTTATCTTTCGTGACCTCGGCATTTTGAAGAACATAGGCTGGTTATTTTATAGAATGTTTCCTTGTGATTAGATTCGGGCTGTACATTTTTGGCAAGAATGCCACAGAAACACTGGCCTAATTGATACCTTTTTAAAGTTTCAAATAGCCACAGAGTAGGTGTCCTAATCCATTAAAACTTCACAAACTCAAATGATACAGGGATGTCAATCTAAATTACATAAACCGTTTTCAAAGAAATTGTTTTATTGTCTTCAGGGGTTGGTTAAAATTGTCAAGTGTCCTTTTGGAATTGACATTGCTAAATAGATAATCATGTGTACTTTGAACAATTCCCCAGTGTCCGGCAATCCTTGTTTACAGTAATAATTTGAACTGTGTGGCAAGCAGTGGTTGCAGCAGACCATTTCCAAATTATTAAGAGCTTCGGACTTAACAAAGTTTTGTTTGCGAGGATGCTTAGTAAATGTTGAGCAGTAATGGGTGGCAAGTAGAACTGATAAGGAAGTGTCTTGGGCAGTTTAAAAACTTTGCCACCCCTTTAAACTGATACTTCTACAAATATTTGCTTAAAATATTTTTAGTGGTAAAAGTAAAATGAGGCCAGGCATGGTGGCTCACACCTGTAATGCCAGCACTTTGGGAGGCTGAGGCAGGTGGATCATGGGGTCAAGAGATCAAGACCATCCTGGCCAACATGGTGAAACCCTGTCTCTACTGAAAATACAAAAATTAGTTAGGCATGGTGGCACGCTTCTATAGTCCCAGCTACTCAAGAGGCTGAGGCAGGAGAATTGCTTGAACCCGGGAGGTGGAGGTTGCAGTGAGCCAAGATTGTGCCATTGCACTCCAGACTGGGCAAAGGAGCAAGACTCCATCTCCAAAACAAAAACAAAAACAAACTCTTGTTCTGCTTGTTTGATTGAGTGTTCTGTCTACTTTCACAGTGTTGTCATGACTGGATCTTACAATAATTTCTTCAGAATGTTTGACAGAAACACAAAGCGAGACATAACCCTAGAAGCATCGCGGGAAAACAATAAGCCTCGCACGGTTCTGAAACCCCGCAAAGTCTGTGCAAGCGGCAAGCGAAAGAAAGATGAAATAAGTGTTGACAGCTTAGACTTCAATAAGAAAATCCTTCACACAGCCTGGCACCCCAAGGAAAATATCATTGCTGTAGCTACTACAAACAATCTGTATATATTTCAAGACAAAGTGAATTAGGGTTGGCATTCCTAGCAGAAGAACCCACTTCCTGCTTAGTTGAGATAGTTGAATCTAGCATTCGTTCCTATAAGAGAGAGGTCCATTGTGGCACCCCTTTCCAGTGTTTGACAGTGTGCCATTCGACAACACATTGTTATAGCTACATGGAGAAAGCTCTGTGGATTCATCACTGTGGTGTTCTCCATGTCTGCTAGCCATTTAGGTAAGGGTAGGGCACTTTTAATTTAAATGACTTCTTGCACCATCTTGCCTAATGGACTAGATTGGACTGTATCAACATTGATTTACTCCACTTTTTATGCCTTCCATTGTGATGACATCAAACACAGTGAAAGCCTTCAGTCATGCTATGGGATTTAATTGTGTATCCTCATTACTGTATCATTTGTGGGGTACACCCCTTCCCCCTTTTTTTAAATTAAATACAGCTCATTCTTACTGTGGCTTGTAGCATTCCTCCTCTTCTGGCCTCCTGGACTCCTCCCCTTCATCTCTCTTACCCTTGCCCCTCCACCCGGTCTTGGTGGTGGTATATTAAAAAAAAGAAAGAATGAAAGCACACAAAATGAGTCAGTGTGGGGTCAGTGGTATAAAGGGGGTACATGTTGCGAACAAATGTTTGAATAACAGTTGGCTGTAATCACTCCTCGCCGTGTCTGGCACTGAAAATAAGGGGAAAAAAACCTACTACTGAATAAAAGTGACAAAGAATGGAGAATCTGGTTTTCTTTTTCTTTTTAACCTACCTCTTAAAGCCAATGTTTTGTGTCATACCTTTAGGCACAGTGAAACAAAATGGGTTTTCATTGTTTTATTGGTATTTTTGTTAATTATTTTTAACAAGTGTTCTTTTACATGCAGAAGGAGAGGTATTGGTTATGTATGAACATATTTTGAATATATATTGGTTTTATTAAGAATTTCACAATCTATAAATGATACTAGAGTTTTTTTCTTTTTACCGTTGTCATGACGGTATTGGATACGTTTTATCTCTACTTAACTCGATATCTGTTAATGAAATTGTTGTAAATGGGAACCAAATTTGTAGAACTTAATTTCTAAATACTTTCTACAGTGCTTAATTTCATTTTTGCCTTACTAAATACTAAGTCAAAGACTTATAAAACATTTTTAACAAAAGTTTTTTTGTCATTCATAGAGCAGAAAACTAACATCAAGTGACACTGCACTACTTTTTTTTTTTTTTTTTTGTATTTTACTGCTATCAGAATGAAATATACTTTACCATAAATATTTTTCTTCTATTTTTGGTTTTCCAAAGCTATATTAAAGACAGATTTTTAAAGGTACAGCGTTCAAAAAGTGCTTAATGAACTCCAACAGCTGCCTCAAATAAACATCTGGTCATCTGTATATGAGTACATTTTCCCTAAGTGGTGATACCTTATCCAAAGATGAAGAGTGCTCCTATTTTTAATAGGTAGAATGTACCTTTGTCAGTCTTGCAGAAGCTTTAATGGAGAAGAAATGGACTTTATTTTTGAAAGGTGAATTGAACAGGCATTTATATTATTAAAGAAAGGTAGTCTTATTTTGGTTGAACGTAATATAACAACCTTGAATTTCAGAGGACTCTTGAGTGCTTCTATGTCCACTACTTACTGTTCTATTCTTCAATAATGAAAAAGAATTAAATGAGTCTATCGTGATTCCCTCTACACTACTACAAATATTATGTCTTGTAAGTTAACATTTTTAGCACACAGAAGAAATTTTATGTAATAAAATTACTGTATCTTTTGGACTTAACAAATTTGGATTTGTATTTGAACACATTGATTCTATGTCTGATAATTCTTAATGGCACTTTTACTAATTTATTTGGGGATCTTGGGTACATTCTTAATTTGTGTTATTTATTCTTCACACTTGACTTGCAAGTGGGATATTCCCCTGTCAGAAGTGTCACTGTCAGAACAGTGATACCCTTCCTGTGTTCTGACTGGACAGCTTTCCAGATTTTTTTTGGGAGATTTTCCTACAACTTGGTTGTGTGTCTTGAGATAACACCACCTAACAGCTCTCAGAAATTCTTTTTTGATTGATTGGTAGCTATGATGATTCTCCTCCATGACACTAAGGATTAGTTTATATATTTAAGAGAAATTATTGCTAAAATTAAAATGCCTCTATCAAGGAATGCTATTATAAATTATTGTTAACATTCTCAAGTATTAATTTTTTAATTTCATTGGTGTAGCAAACTATAAGCCCAGCCACTCATTTTACATGGCCATGGTTAATCTTTTTATTAATAAAAATTATACTTAGAATAAACTTAGTCTTGTCAAGTTGCTTGTATTTCCTATTCTCTTGCCATTAATACACGTGCACATATTCCATCCCTTCTCTTAACCTTTTAGAAAAGATTGTGGTAGGAAAGGACCTTCATTCTATTAACCACTTTTTATCTCTAGTTAGTGGCTGGGCAGTAAGAAGAATTAGTTTATAAATCTGTCTAAATACATGTTTAACCATTAACTGCTGGATGGTAAGCTTGTGTGCAGCCCTCTCTCTTGGAATTTAAATAACAATGCATCTATGCAATTTTTTCGTTTCAAAATGAAGAGAATTTTTTAAACCTTAAATGTGAGTTATTAAGCTAGAGAGAGGAAAGCAGGTTCAGTGTGTGACTATTTTTTGAGTAAGGTGTTTATTAGGAAATTGTGCACATGTGAAAACTATGCATGCTGATAAAGAATTTTTATCTTTTTTCTACTACACATAAATTCAAATGGAAATAGTATTGTGTATTTCCAGAAGAATAAAACCAGTGCCCTGCAAATGATGGGAAAGATAGGCGTATGCTGGGTAGTCAAGAATCAAGTCAGTTTACTTGTGCATTTGAAAGCACCTCAATTTTAGTATCTTATTTATCTGTTCCAATGGTGATAGTTTAAGCACTGTGTGTATGTCTTAGCGTGGTTAAAAAGGGGGCTTTATGCACCTCTTCCCCTCCGAAAAAAGCCTTGGGAAATGACCCTCCTTTTTGTAATGATGCACGAGATCAGAATATTACAACTCTTTTAATCAAATGCTTAGCGTTACTATGGGATCTTGAGGTGTTCTCAAGATGGCGGAGATATTTTTGTAATCGAGTTTGTCTCAACATTTTAGGCACAGTGGTATTAGACTGTAACCTCTTACCTCTGTATTAGAATTAAGAAACACCACTTTACAGGCTTAAAGTTAAGTCTCTCTCCAGCTCAGTGCTTATCAAAGAGAAGGCACTACAACGCTTAATTTCCTCTAAAAGGAATTCGGCAAAAACTGCCATAAGGGGAAAAGCTAATATTTTGTGTTTTTTTCAAATGTTCTACTCATGTTCCTTTGTAATCTGAATAGCAACATGTTTTTTTAGGACTTTCCCATTAGGGGGCAGTGGTGGGGAGCGGTGGCTCATGCCTGTAATCCCAGCACTTTGGAAGGCTGAGGTGGGAGGATCACTTGAGACCAGCCTGGGCGACAAAGCAAGACCCCATCTCGACAAATAATAGATGTATCTTAAGAAATATATTTTAAGAAACCACTAGGGGGCGATCGTTAAATCTTGAACAGCAATGGTAAGGTATTTTTGAGAATTAAACGGGAGTCTCTGTACAGGAAGGGCTTCATTTATTAAAAACAAAATCAGGGCCCAAATACAGCACATTGTGTGCCCCAAACCACTGTTCTATGACCCTTGAGTAAATATTTGAGAACCTAGTGGAGGGGGGACACAAATGCCCACTGTGGTGTCATTTCTTACATTGTACTACAATAAAGTAACACAATATAAGTAGTACAAGTCATGACATCACAGTGGGCATTTGGTTATGGCCAGCTAATTTTTGTATTTTGCAAGTATCTTATTGAATAGGTTGCATCAATGTTCATGAAGGATATTGATCTACAATTTTTTATATAATGTGACTGTCCGATGCTGATCTCATTAAATGAATTTTCCTCTCCTGTATTATTGAAGAATGTGGACAAAATTGGTGTAACTTCTTCCTTCAGTGTTTGGTAGAATTCACTAGTGATAAATTATTAAATATCGTTCTATCAAAGGTCACATTACTGAGTCACTGTAAGGAGAACGTTTGTCCCTTTTCAGAAATGAAATGTATTCCTGCTCTATTCACTAAGTTGCCCAGCATGGTTAACAGAATGAAGCGTCATAATTAGAGTTCGTCAAAAACCATTTTGCTTTCTTAGAGTATCTTTGAAAACGTTAATTTCTTAGCCTAAATCTGTATCAAAGTTTTGCTGCCCAACACTTAATTTAGCAATCCCTACAAAGATTGAGCAGGTAGTGTAGTTGTCAAGTAACAGCAAAATGGTTAGGATGTGCTGGAGTGCCACACTAGGGACCCTGTGAGTTAAAGAAAATATAATGATTTTTCGAGACAGGGTTTTAAACTCTTGTCACCCGGGCTGCAATGAGGTGACCTGATCATGGCTCACGCAGCCTTAACCTCTTGGGCCCAATCAGTCCTCTCATCTCAGCCTCCCAAGTAGCTGGGGCTACAGGCACCTGCCACCACACCCAGCTAACTTTTTTAAAGTTTTTGTAGATGTTGTCCAGGCTGAACTGCTGGGCTCAAGTGATCCTCCCAAGTCCACTTCCAAAATGTTGGGATCTGGTAACCATTTGAGTTTGTACCTCCTCTTTGGCCCTAAAATTAAGACCAAACCAGGCAAAACTACTCATAATGGGTATGGTATTATGGAGTCAATGCTCAAAATAATAGTAAAACATCTTGCAGACCCCTCACATCGTTTTTTTTTTTTTTCTCTTTTTTTTTTTTTTTTTTTTTTGAGACAGTCTTACTCATCACCCAGGCTGGAGTGCAGTGGTGTGATCACAGTTCACTGCCACCTTAACGCTGAGCTCAGGCGATCCTCCCACCTCAGCCTACCGGGTAGCTAGGACTACAGGCATTTACCACCACACCCTTTTGTATTTTTTGTAGAGATGGGGTTTCACCATGTCACCCAGGCTGGTCTCAAACACCAGTGCACTCCAGCCTGAGTGACAGAACGAAACTGTCTCAAATAAATAATAAAATAACAAAAAGTAAAATTTGTATTACTCGTTTATTACCTTATCAAAATCATAATAAGAAATAATAGTATTTATATCCAGAAGCTATTGCCATAATCAAGTAATAGAAGTATAACGATATCTAAAATGAGAAAAGTGGGGCCGGGCGTGGTGGCTCACACCTGTAATCCCAGCACTTTGGGAGGCCGAGGCACGTGGATCACAAAGTCAGGAGTTTGAGACCAGCCTGACAAACATGTGGAAACCCCATCTTAAAAAAAGCGGGTGGATCACTTGAGGTCAGGAGTTCAAGACCACCCTGGCCAACATGGTGAGACCCCCCATCTTTATTACTAAAAATACAGAAAAGCTGGGTGTGGTAGTACACACCTGTAATCCCAGCTACTCAGGAGGCTGAGGCATCAGAATCACTTGAACCTGGGAGGCGGAGGTTGCAGTGAGATGGGATCCTGCCACTGCACTCCAGCATGGGTGACAGTGAGGGGAAAAAAAAAGATCAACTAAAAAATGGGTAGTAGTGGTAAAGGTGGAAGAAGGGGAATTATACTAATTTCATTACCGTTCCTTGCTGGGCATTAAAAGAAACTGACTAAGGAAAAGGATTAGGAGGATTATATAAATATATATAAAGGTAACTGAACAAAAATTAAAATCTCAGGTGAACACAACTAAGCAACAATAGTGACAGTAAAAACCTAAACAATTAATTGAGATTGAACTGAGGACAAAATTATGACCATGTTAGTGAAACAGAGATGGTTATGAACATCTGCATCAACTATAAGGAATGAAAATACAAGAAAGAAACATACTAGGAGTAGGAGATACAAATTTAACTCTTGAAATCCAGGACATATAAAGGGGTGAAAATAATCAACTGTATGAAAACTTAAATGACATTAGGTGTTCCAACAGATACAACAAACCTGATTTTGTGAACACAAAGTATACCTTCTTTTCAAATACAGCCTTAGCCTGGAAGGCTAAGGCTGCAGTGAGCCGTGATTGCACCACTGCACTCCAGCCTGGGTGACAGAGTGAGACCTTGTCTCAATAAAATAAAATAGGATATGATTAATAAAAACTTTTTTGAATGTTTAAAACCTTTAAAAGGAGTTCCTAAAAGGAAAATAGAACAAAGTGGGATCTCATAGTCTGACTGGGAAAACAATTCTATAAATATGTCAATAATCCCTCAGTCTATTAATCGAGTTCATTTCTGACCAAAATCTTAAAAAAGAATTTGCAAAGGGATTTGACAAATCAATCCTTTTTTTAAAAAAACATTTTAGCATTGAATTTTTCAAATATATTTTAACAACTAGAGGAATAATGTACCACCTTGCTTCAGTAATTACCAGCATATGGTCAATCTTGGACAAGTTCATTTTTAAGTTTATCTGAAGCGTAATTAGTCATTAACATCTGAAAAAGACAAATGACGACAAAGTTTAATAGTTAGCTAACAGAGGTATTGTAGATAGCCCTGAAACAGATTCACATTTTTGTGAGCATTCAGAGAGTGACAACGGTGCAATTTCAAATCAGGGTAGACAGGATGGCTTAAAATTCGTATTATTGGGTCAATGGGCTACAAAACTGGGAATAATTGAAGTTAAATAATTTACAGCTGAAATATGAAGAATAAATTTCAGATGGATTAGAGCTCTAAATGTAAATTTAAGCCTCTAAGAGAATTAGAAAAAGTTAAAGGGGAATTATAGATTCATAATCTTGGTGTTAAGGTCTCCCCAAGCCATGCAAGAATGATAAATTTGATTACATGAAAACCTTAAGCTTCTATAGAGTGGGGAAAAAAAAAAAAAAAAAAGAACAAGTTACAGACAGAGAAACATATCACTCATAAACCAGGCCAAGGAGACTGGACAAACACGAAACGTATATCGCTCATAAATCAGGCCAAGGAGACTGGAGATGTGAAGTAGGAGGTATGTTTTGGAAAATACTTTATTTAATGTTACCCACGTACAGGATAAACGGCTTCCCACGTCATGTCCCAGAAATCGATTAGGGGATGGGATTTGGGTGATTACTTTCTTCTGTTTTCCTGATTTTTTCTCTTGTTTCTTTTCTTTCTCTCTTCTGTTTTCCTGAATTTTTTTTTCTTTCTTTCTTTTCTTTCACTCTCTTTTTTACAATGATGCTGTGTTTGTAATTGACGTTTTAAATTCTGTAACGATTACATTTGGGGGCGGCCCTCCCTTGTTTCCTGAATGGAGTGTTGATGTTTCAGCGGCTTTGAGTTTACTCGTGGAGGCACCTAGGTTTGGGGCTTCCTTTGTGTCCCCAAGACACCTATTGCAGAAGTGAGTCCTAAGAGGTAGAAAACAGATGCATGCGCAGAACTGGGTGAAGCAGTGTGGAGCCCGTGTGACAGGAGGCTCGGGCGCTAACACATAAGCGGACTTCCTCATTCCGCTTCTCCTCATCCTCTCTCCCAGTGCCACCCGCATCACTCATCCCATCCGGTCATTCCAAGTCACACGCAAGAGTTCGTTCCCCGCGCGCGCGTCAGCCTAAGTCCCGCGTCTCCACTTCCGGGGCCCGCCGGGGAACGCCCTTGCCCCGCCCGGTCGCTTGTTGTGTTGTCATCACGTGGCGTGGGCGGGCCCTGACGTCAAGGGGAGGGGAGGGACGGCGCAAGCGCAGAAAAGGGGGCGGGGGACTCGGCTTGTTGTGTTGCTGCCTGAGAGCCGGAGACAGTCCTGCAGCTGCCGCAGCCCTGCCAGCCGCCTGACAATGTCCCACCTAGTCGAGCCGCCGCCGCCCCTGCACAACAACAACAACAACAACTGCGAGGAAAGTGACCAGTCTCTGCCCCCGCCGGCCGGCCTCAACAGTAAGTGTGGGGCCGAGGGCTTGGTGAAGGGGATGGGGGAGGAGGAGCCGCCCCAGCCGCCGCCACCGGCGCGGCGCGGGAGGCGGGAGGAGAAGGCAGCCCATTGGCCCAGGCCTAGGATGTCCGGGTGACTGACAGCTCCCGTCACCTGTCAGGAGGAGGGGCGTCTGCCTTCCTTCGGGCCTCTCGGTGCCCTCTGAGGTCTTGGGTCCTGGGCCTTTTGGGTTCGCGGTCCGGGATCGGCGGGGGTGGCGCGGATCTCCCCGGTGTGGAGGGTCCCCAGCAGCGGAGCTGGGTGGGGCGGGGCGGGGGCTGGCCTGGGCGGTGGGGAGGCCGGGTGGGAGGAGCAGGCCGCGGAGGGTACGTGGGCCGGGATGGGACGTGCGGCTGGGACGCCGGGGGATGGACGCGCAGGAGCGGGGTGGGGCGGGCGGCGGCCGCGGGACGTGTCAAGGATCAGGTGTGCGGGGTCCGGGAGCCGGCAGCGTCTGGCGGGCGCGGGAGCCCCCAGCGAGCATTCCTTTGTTGCCACATGTTCGTCAGGAAAATTCATTTACTGTTCTAGGGGTGGCTTCAGTCACGTGTGGGGTGAGAGGTTGTGCCTTGCTTTTCCTTTTCCTTTTTTTTTTTTTAGATTTCTCGAAGTTGCCCAAGTAATTTTTTTTTAAGCGATGGGGTTGTGTGCCCAGTAAACCTGAGAGCTGCCTCCTGAACCACCCAGGAGTCTGGGGCCATGCATTTAAAGAAATGAAATTAAAAACGCAGTCGGGCAGTTGAAAGTCAACAGGCAGGGCTGATGGACTACCCAGGCCAGGGGCTTTTCTTAACATTCCGCTGCTTAGACGTGTGGTCCTCAGATTTTTCTCAGGCGTTGTGAGAGCCAGGAGCCTCCTTGGAAGGGTTCTTGCCTAACCTTTCTGTAATTCATGTCTTGGGAAAGAGGTAGTGGGGGCAGTGAGCATGTGGCCAGACTGTCTTTTCAAAACCACTTGGATGCTTAAAGGTCGTGTAGTATCTTTCGTAAGAGGGAAGTGCTTCCAGTGTGGCCTGAAGATTATTATTCCAGGGAAGACAGTTGCAGCCCTCACCAGGTAGGGATGGAATTTGGATGTTTTAAGATGGATGCTGCTTCTCCAGGTTTTGATGGGTTAACTCCCAAGACCTTTAAGTGTCCTGTATTCCAGAATGTAAGATGGTTATATTATTTCCCGCAGCAAATTAGGATGAATGTATGTGTCTTTAAACATTAATTGTATCACATATTCATATGCAATTTTAAGTTATTTGCCCGTGTTTAGCATACTCTCTTGGATTTTAGAATGGGAAGAAACTTCCAGTAGAGAAACAGGTCTTGATTAAGGGGCCTTGTCCAAGTTCACAACCAGCTGGGAGCAAAGCTGAGGTTCTGACATTCAGCCTGTCCAGTGCCTTTTTTTTTTTTTTTTTTTTTTTTTTTTTTTTTGAGATGGAGTCTGGTTCTGTCACCTAATAGCTGCGTTTTCTCAGCTCACTGCAACCTCCGCCTCCTGGATTCAGGGATTCTCCTGCCTCAGCCTCCCGAGTAGCTGGGACTACAGGTGCCCGCCACCCACCTGGCTAATTTTTGTACTTTTAGTAGAGACGAAATTTCACCATTTTGGCCAAGCTGGTCTCAAACTCCTGACCTCATGTGATCCACCCGCCTGGGCTTCCTCAAGTGCCGGGATTACAGGCACAGCCAATGCGCCCTGCCTCTTTTCAGGACTTCTTTTCAGTGGTCCAGAACCAGGCTTCTTTTCAGTGGTCTTGCTGGTGTATGTGTCTTATTTTGTCAGTGTTGTTATTCTACCTGATGCACCAAGGTGACCCACCTTTCTGTCTCTTGGTAGTATTCTGTTTAATTGTGCAATTTTCTTATGAGTGAAGATACTTGGTAGGTGTACATGATTTCACTAAACGCAAAGGGATTTTCATCTTCCTTTGACCCCTTTAACAACAACACAAAGGGCTAAGCCAGGCAGGGCGCGGTGGCTCACACCTGTCATCCCAGCACTTTGGTAGGCCGAGTTGGGTGCTTCACTTGAGGTCAGGAGTTCTAGACCAGCCTGCCAGCAAGGTGAGAGACCAACCCCCCCCACTACTGAAAATACAAAAATTAGCCTGGCATAGTGGCAGGCGCCTGTAATCCCGGCTACTCGGAGGCTGAGGCAGGAGAATCGTTTGAACCCGGGAGACAGAGGTTGCAGTGAGCTGAGATTGTGCCACTGCACTCCAGCCCTGGTAACAGAGCAAGACTCTGTCTGAATGAAAAAAGAAAAAAAAAAGGGGGGGGGGTGGGAGTTGAGCCATATGTCATTGTTTGTCTTGGTGTCTTACAGACCTATGACAAGTTTGATATCTTTGGCCAATTTGTTCCTGCTTGGTTGACATCGGCTCTTACAGAGGTGGAATTACACTCAGGCTGCATGGGATATCAAAATGTTGCTTTGGGAAATCTGCTGGATAGCATTTTATGTGGGTTAGGGTGAGCTTCCTGAAAAGCTTTTAGATAATGCCATGTTTAATTACTCCCCTCTTGCCTCTTACTCTGTTCGGTTTTTTTTAGCTCATTACACAACACTGGACTGAACAAAACAAGAAGCCTCATTGATTCCTTGAAGTGATTTTTGGGTACTGGGCAAAACAACTTAGGCATCTAGTACTGTCCAAATTGCTGATAAGTTGAAGTACTTTGTTGGGTAAAGTTGCACAACTGAAAAACAGGGGATGAAATGTACAGATTATCTTGGGTTTGGGATTTTATCTTTGGTTCAGGGGTCAAAGCAGAGTTTCAATAGCAAATTATTGAAATATTTGAATAGTGAAGTATTTCTGTGATTTTTTTTTTTTTTTAAGTTTACCGCTGTGAAGAGACTGTTCACTTTCATTACAAATTACAGGGCAGATACCCAAACTCTTGCCAAGTGAAAAGGATGTTGTCCAGTTTGTTTTGTTGTTAAGAATTTTTAACTGTTTAAAAAAAAAGAAACAATTCTTAACTATTAACTTCCTTAAGAATATTTGAATAAGGTTCAATGAGTAAGGAAAATCAAAGTAGTAGTATAATTCTTGTTGAGACGTATAGCCTTTTTTTCTTTCCTTGTTTTTATTTATTTTTATTTCTGAGATAGAGTCTTGCTCTGTCACCCAGGCTGGAGTACAGTGATGCAGTCATAGCTGATTGCAGCTTCCACCACCTGGGCTCGAGTGATCCTTTTGCCTCCGCCTCCCAAGTAGCTAGGAGTACAGGTGCACGCCCCCACACCCAGCTAATTATTTTATTTCTTGTAGAGATGGAGTTTCACTTTGTTGGCCAGGCTGGTCACTGGCTAACTTATTTTTTGTAGAGATTGAGTTTTGCTTTGTTGCCCAGGCTGGTCACAAACTTTTTTTCTTTTTTTAAGTAAATCTTCAACCATGATGTAGTTGCTTTCCTGTTATCAAGAGTGCTCTTAAGGCCTTCATGAAGTGTCACTGCGTCATAATAATGTTTTGAATACCTATGTAACTTGTGTGTAAATACTTATACAAAAAGACAAATTTTTTTTTTTTTTTTTTTTTTTTAGAAGAATGTCAGTGACTCTTGTTGGCCTGGTCTGGATTTCAGCATCAGATTGGCCTGGTCTGGATTCCTTTCAATAATGAATGAAAGGCTTTGAGGAAAGAATGTAAATATAATGAAATATGGAAAGAGTTCCATGTGGACCTTGAAAAGTTATGGGGGAAATTGAGGAGAAATACTCTTCATTTTCTCCTCCCCGTGTCCCAAAGCTCCTCTTCTCCCCTTATTGCAAGAGAATTGAACTAGTGATTATAAAACTGTAAAGATGATGTAACATACATTAAGGAATGTAATCACAATTATTAAACCACCTTTCACAATCTGTTACATTAGAGAATGGAGAAGCACTCACAGAGGTTTCTCTGAGTCTCTTAGTCATTCCCAAAAACCCAAACCAGCAAGTATTGCATGTCATTGCATATTTTGTACAAATTGGCATAAGGAACAGCTCTTACTTCCTTTGTAAAGTCTGAATCATAGAGAAGCTTCCAGCTTTTAGTTTTCAAGCTTGATTGTTAGGAAGAGAGTTCACTCTGTAGTTTTCTACTTTGTATTGGTTGGACTGCACAAACCTCTTATCTAGCATTGCTTCCTTTCCAAGTAAAACTGGACTTTGTGAGGGTTGGTAGAGTTAAAACACTAAGAAATTTTGAGTCTGTAAATCAGGAACGAATCAGGTGATGGGAAAAAGACGTG